TGCTGAATATTGGCAGGACCTGGAACACGCTGTCGTATACGCCGATCCAGAGCATCGCAAACATGCTCAATGGGTGACATGTACGGTAAGTATGCTGGCCATGCAAGAACTGGGATGTTTTTAGCTTCCAGGAATTGTGTACAGATCCTTGCAACATGGGGGCGTGCATTATCATGCTGCAACATGAGGTGATGGTCGTGGATGAATGGCACAACAATGGGCCTCAGGATCTCGTCACGGTATCTCATGCAGATGAGCTTCCCTGGGATTGTTTCTGACAGTTTGTGCAAAAATTCTTTGGTTATGCAAACCGATTGTTGCAGCAGCTTGCCAGGTGGCTGGTCTCAGACGATCTTGGAGGTGGAGATGCTGGATGTGGAGGTCCTGGGCTGGTGTGGTTACACGTGGTCTGCGGTTGTGAGGCTGGTTGGGTGTACTGCCAAATTCTCTGAAACTCCTTTGGAGACAGCTCACGGGCAACAGCTCTGGTGGACATTCCTGCAGTCAGCATGCCAATTGCACGCTCCCTCAAAACTTGCGACATCTGTGACATTGTGCTGTGTGATAAAACTGTACATTTTAGAGTGACCTCTTATTGTGGCCAGCCTAAGGAACACCTGTGCAATAATCATGCTGTCTAATCAGCATCTCGATATGCCACACCTGTGAGGTGGATGGATTATCTCGGCAAAGGAGAAGTGCTCACTAACACAGATTTAGACAGATTTGTGAACAATATTTGAGAGAAATAGGTCTTTTGTGTACATAAAAAAAGTCTTAGATCTTTGAGTTCAGCTCATGAAAAATGGGTGTAAAAAGTGTTGCGTTTAGAATTTTGTTCAGTGTATAAACATATTTTATAACACTATTATAATAGGTAGTTATTATTTATCCCTGGCAGGCTGTGTTTGGTGATGTCACACTGTTATAATATATTATTATTATTTATCCCTGGCAGGCTGTGTTTGGTGATGTCACACTGTTATAATATATTATTATTATTTATCCCTGACAGGCTGTGTTTGGTGATGTCACACTGTTATAATATATTATTATTATTTATCCCTGGCAGGCTGTGTTTGGTGATGTCACACTGTTATAATATATTATTATTATTATTTATCCCTGGCAGGCTGCTGGTGATGTCACACTTTCGTTTTCTGATGAGGAGTGGGCGGGACTTGCTGCCTGGCAGAAACAGCTCTACATAACTGTTATGAAAGATACAGTGGAACTCTTTTGTTCATTGGGTGAGTCTGTACTAAATGAGGGTAATTTCTTCAAGGCTTCTGTGACAAAGTGCCCTTCGCCACTTATTCTTGGAGAGGCCTGCTTGCCAGCCTCTTGCCTTGTGACTATAGCCAGTTAAAAACCTATTTGGGCTTATTGACTTTTAAAAGACTGTTTCTGGCCCTTTAAATACTATGGGAAAGGATCTGCACTTTTAAAGTGGCACTTTGGATGCAGCCGAAGAAGTAGTCGAAGTGGCCGCCATTCGACAAACGAACACGTGGCAGCGGCCATTTTAATTTAGTCGAGTGTTGTGCCGCCGAGTTCATGGAACTAAAATCGGATACTCGACGGCACGAACACCGCTGAAGTTTTACCTTCTCTGGAACTCTCACACTTTAAATTCAGTCAAACGGTGTTCGACAATACGAATGCCACATTAACATTGCAGATTTGCACGAACAGCCCCGTTCATGCATTCGAACGGTTTTTGAACTGTGGTGAATGGACCGGCTGCACAGCCAAAATCCATGGAACTGTTTTGGGCATGAAAATGTGTGTGCGTGCAGTCGGTCAAAATGGGACATCCAGCTATCTTCCAAACCACTGGACCAATTTGCATGATTTTTGAGTATGTTTGTTCCCTAATTATGCTGGTTCAGAAAATGTGATGCGAATGTGAGGTATAATTTTAGAGTTATAGAAATTGCATAAAAAGTATATTTTTTCGCTTGGAGATAATTGAGCTGATACAGTAATTAGCCCAATTATCAGTAATTTACTGTAATGAATGGGAGTGTTTAACCTTGTGTCTATAAATGATTGGTTGTTGAGTTTGTGTTTTCAGTGCCCAACAAGGTCCACGTGGGTGGTAACCTTGTGGGGAAATGTGTATATAAGAAGCAATAAAGCCTCAGTGCATTCTGTTCCTGTTTGACCCTCAACACGTAGTCTTGTCTCGTGATTGGAGGGTGTGGCGGAACCAGCCTCGCCACTGGGCACTGGAGAAGACTGATTGCCGGCCTCCTGCCCTGTGACTATGGCCCCATGTTGAAAGGATGGATTTTCCCCTGCAAAGACCCAAAAGCTGGGTCTTTCGGTACTTTCCCTATGTGAGCAATGTTACCCAGATAGCTATGCCATGGAGCCCATTTGTATAATGAAAGACTATGTGAAAGACTTTGGCTCCATGGCAATTGAACTGTATGTGTGTGCTCTGAGCGCCATTCAGTAATAATGTGTGCTCAGATCTGAGCTATCTGGGGATATGTTGAATGTACCTGTTTTGTGCAATGGCTGCACAGTTATATGTTTTTATGTGTTTTATTGTCATTTGCTGCCATGTGTTCAATGGAGTTTTGCCTCTGTCCTTGGAGATAATTGGATTACTTCACAATTATCTCCAGGATAGAAGACTATGTGGAACTGGTTTTGGGCAGAAAAGCCATGCTTCATTTGGTCACAAAGGACTTTGATCTATCTTTTGAACCAATGGACCAATTTGGATGAACTCACTGTGGGTAACGTCAGTATCTGCACAGTCCCATTGCATGAATAACATGCTAAGGGGGAGGCCTCTCTGAATGGCCATCCATGCTAAGTCCTTGTGTCTATTGGTTAGACTACCAGATGTCATGTTCCTCCATGCAGTCTTTGCTGTGCCAGTGGGCAGCCTTGGACTAGAAAGTGGAGTGTTTTGAGCTCTGATACGTTTGTGGATCCCCTTAAAGGTTTAACTTCTTCCAGATGGTGTTCCCTCACAACTTTCTCACTTCCAGGTAAGATCACAGAGTGTCCCAGTTGTGAAGGATAGAGCTGTTCCACTTTTCCCAGCCTAACCCTCCCCAGGTGGGCAGGAGGAAAAAACAGGACTTGGGGGTGTTGATCTTGTCTGAGGTGTGTGGTTCCTTGTACATCTTGGACCCTCAGCTAAAGTAAAAAAGTGCCCTTCTGATGACTCTGCAAACAGAAACTATAGGAGGCCATACCTGGGCAATGAACTGCATAACAAGAATCTCATGCCGCAGCACCAGTTTCTTTCCATCGATGATAAAATCTCTGAGTTTCCACAATCTGAACTTCTGGTTCATTTTTGCCAGTCTCGAGCGAGCAAGTATTTTTGGGTTGAAGGGTGTGTTGTTGGGGTGAGGGGATATTTTTTTTTTGGGGGGAGGGGGGGTTTGTTGTTGAGTGAGGGGTCTGTTTTTTGTGTCAGAGCATGTTGGGGTGAGGGGTGTGTTTTTAAGGTGAGGGTTTGTTGTTGGGATGGAGTGTTTTTGAGGTGAGGGGGTGCTTTTGTAGTGAGAGAGTGTGTTTTTGGGGTGTGGGTTGTATGTGGGATGTGTGGGTGTTTTGGGGTTTAAGGGTGTGCTGTGGGATGGAGTATTTTTAGGGTGAGGGATTTTTTTGGGTGAGGGGTGTGGTTTTGGGGTGAGTGTGTTGTTGGGCTGAGCGATGTAATTTTGAGGGGAGGTGATGTTGGGGGGAGGGGTGTGTTTTTTAGATGAGGGGTGTATGTGGGGTGAGTGTTTTGGAGTTAAATGGTATATTGAGGTGAGGGAGTGTTTTTGTGTTGAAGGTTGTGTTGTTGGGTTAGGGATATGTTTTGGACAGAGTGTGCTTTGAGGTGAGGATGTATTTTTGAGGTGAGTGGGTGTTGTTGGGGTGAGGGGGTGTTTTTGGGGTGAGTGTGCTATTGGGATAAGGGGTGTATTTTTAAGGGAAGGAGTGGGGTGAGGGGTGTAATTTTAAGGGGAGGGGTATTTATATCATGAGCAGTATATTTGTGGGGTGAGGGACGTAATTTTAAGGGGAGGGGGTATTTTTATCATGAGCAGTGTATTTGTGGGGTGAGGGGTGTAATTTTAAGGGGAGGGGTGTATTTTTATCATGAGCATTTTTATTAGTCCCTATTAGGCACTCTATCAGGATGAGACCTTTATTAGTGTCCAAACACAGACTAACAACCATATATATACAATAAAGCACCCATGCATTCCCCCTAAAAAAAAAACATTGTTGTTGGGGTCAGTGGTGTATCCTGGTTTTGTGCTGCCCTAGGCAGGACAAAACTCAGGCGCCCCCTCCCCCCGCGCCACCCCCACCCAACCCTTCCCCCCGCCCCACCTTCTAAATACACACACACACACAGTCAGACACAAACACACACACACAGTCAGACACAGACAAACACAGTCAGACACAAACACACACAGTCAGAGACACACACAGTCAGACACAAACACACACACACAGTCAGACACACACACACACAGTCAGACACACAGACACACACACACAAACACACACACAAACACACAGTCAGACACATACACACACACACAGTCAGACACATACAGACACAAACACAGTCAGACACAAACACACACACAGTCAGACACAAACACACACACATACAGTCAGACACACACACACACACACACACACTCACAAACACAGACACAAACACACACAGTCAGACACACACACACACACACATTACCTTTTTTTTTAATTTAAATCCCCCCCCAACCTCCTTACCTTTGGGAGTGCTTGGGGAGGTCTCTCTCCCTGGTGGTCCAGTGGCTGCCGGTCGGGCGGGCGGCTGGCGAGGGAGCACTTCCCCTGAGCTGACTGCTCAGCTCCCTCGCGCGCCGGCTGCAGAGTGAGGCTGGGAGCCGGAAGATGACGTCAAAAAACGCCGCCCCCCAAATGCCCAGGGCAAATGCCTAGTTAGCCTTGCGGCTAACTGACATCCCGAGCGGGCGGCACTGGCGGGCGGGCTGCTGGCGAGGGAGCACTTCCTATCAGCTCATAGGAAGTGCTCCCTCGCCAGCAGCCCACCCGCCAGTGCCGCCCGCTCGGGATGTCAGTTAGCCGCAAGGCTAACTAGGCATTTGCCCTGGGCATTTGGGGGGCGGCGTTTTTTGCCGCCCCCTGGAAAATGCCACCCAAGGCAAATGCCTTGTTTGCCTCGCGGCTAATACGCCCCTGGTTAGGGTGATGGATGTTGTGGCAGACCGTCTGGCACCCCGACTGGGTGCCTCCGCCAATCGATGCTTCTTAGTGCTCACCGAGTACTTCCAAGCACTTCACCAGACACCATAACCACCATCATCCCTGCAGCCAGTGTTACAGCTTGGTTGGGGTCTTGCTGTTCTCCACCCACCCTGGACCCAAGACCGGGATCCAGCTTCCAGTGGGTAGACCTCTTCTACTCCAGAGTGTATAGCAGGATAGCTCTTACAAGAGCTAGTGATTATAATGCAAAGGAGTATAGTAATTCTAGCAATCCCCAGAGTGAATATAGCTGTTCCCTCCACATATGAGACGAGGCTCTATGTTGAGGGTAAAGGAGAACGGGTTTAATGGGAACCACTTGCAGCCTTATATGCAACTCCCCATGCAAGGGGTTTCCGAATACATATTCCAGGGGAATTCCCCTCTGGACCTGAGAGGAGACTACAGTAAAACATATACAGAATTACATTGGCTCTCAGGTCCAGGACACTCCCATACAAAACAGGGTAATCCCTCCCCTGTGCCTGAGAGATCATGGAGTTAGGAACTGTACTAAACTCAATTATCTCCAGGCACAGAAAACATACATTTTAACAACATACCAAAAGTACCCCCAAAACACATGGAAACCCCACAAATGTCACATCCCCGAATAGCCCGATCTGGCGGACCAACATATCCAAAAATCACCCAGTTCGGTTCAGGGGTTCGGGATTTTCATCAAAGTCATAATTTTGACCGACCGTGCACATGGTCCTATGCCCAAAACAGTTCCAGGGAATCAGGGCTAACGGTCAGTCTCTCATTCTGGAGTACTCAAGTACATAAACCACATGAACGGATCCTTTTAAAGTGCATTGGGCAAGGTATATTGCAGGGCCCATAGACCTGAGGCAGGATGCTGGCAAGCAGGCTCCTCCAGGAGCCTGTGGCCAGGTTCTGTCCACCATAGATATGTTTTTAGGGTGATTTGTTGGCGTGAGGGGTTCATTTTAGATGTGAAGGGGTGTAGTTGTGGTGAGGGGTGTGTTTTTGTGGTGAGGGGTTGTTGGGGTGATGGATGTGTTTTTGGGGTGATAGTTAAGTGTTCTTGCATAGCAAGACCACTTAATGTTATCTCACATATATATGATTCTTATTCTTATTATAGCCAAATTTGCCACCCTAACTCCTCCCACAGTTTTTACACTACATAGACAGAAATATACCGAAACGTGCGGATTGTTTCCGATTGGATTGCTATTACTTTGTAGAACGTTTCGCTGAATGGTTCACGGAATATCGTCGTTCTTGTGGTGAAATTGGTCATTGGTCATTCATTGAAACTCCACTCCAGCCAGCTCAAATTTGAAGGGCAATTTCTAAACTGCGACTGTGCCTTCATTTCTAATACTTCAGAGACATACTATGCATCAAATGTAGGTCTGGGTCTTGTGATTCTCACAATATAAAGCTCTTCGCTGTAGAATTTATAGTTTTTAAAATACGACCGTTTGAAGATGGCAACCGCCAAAATACTCTGACCTGTGCCAGGCTGCAGCAGCAAGTGATGTCATAGACAGGGCCTTTTGAACACCTGCTAATGTTTTTATAAATGTATGTTTTAATGTAACTGTGAAGCACTTTGGGCAACAACGTTGCAATTAAATGTGCTATATAAATAAATAAAAGTTGAAATGCATTTCTCACTCTATCAAGCTTGCCATGTGCACTTTTTAAATTCGATCAATCAATTGGTTAGTGTAATGTTTACTATCTTTACTCACTCCAAACACTCCGCATAGTTACTCTGCCCAGTCCAACCTTTCCACAGTTACTCCAGCCACTCCAACCACACAACAGTTACTCCAGCCACTGGTGGGAGCAAGAATACTTCACACAAATTTCCCCAGAAATTTTAGCTTTTCTAGTTTGTTGTTATAGTGAGGGTTGTATTTAAGATGTGAAGGGGTGTGGTTGTGGTGAGGGTTGTGTTTTTGTGGTGAGAGTATGGTGTTGGGTAGTGATGCACCGAACGGATCGCTGGCGAATAGTTCCTGGCGAACATAGCATGTTCGTGTTCGCCACGGCGGGCGAACATATGCGCGGTTCGATCCGCCCCCTATTCGTCATCATTGAGTAAACTTTGACCCTGTACCTCACAGTCAGCAGACACATTCCAGCCAATCAGCAGCACACCCTCCCTAGCAGACCCTCCCACCTACTGGAAGGCATCCATTTTACATTCATTCTCAAGCTGCATGCTTAGTGAGAGGAGGGAAAGTGTGGCTGCTGTTGATTAGATAGGGAAATGCATAGCTAGGTTAGGGTATACAGTGTCCACTACAGTCCTGAAGGACTCAACTGATCTCTGCTGTAAGGACAGCACCCCAAAAAGCCCTTTTTAGGGCTAGAACATCAGTCTGCTGTTTTTTTTTTTTTTTCTGTGTAATGTAATTGCAGTTAGTTCTCTGCCAGCTTCTGTGTCAGGCTCACAGTGGATACTGTGCCCAGTGCCACCACTCACTCACTGGTGTCACAATAGTTTGCATTTAAAAACAAAAAACTTTTTTCACTGTTATAGTTTGAATAGCAGTTAGTTGTCTGCCAGCTTCTGTGTCAGGCTCACAGTGGATAATGTGCCCAGTGCCACCACTCATTCACTGGTGTCACAATAGCTTGCATTTAAAAACAAAAAACTTTTTTCACGGTTATAGATTGAATAGCAGTTAGTTGTCTCAAAGCGGGTGTGTCAGCCCTACAGCGTGTACTCTGCCAACCTCTGCCAGTTCACAGTGCCACTCATATCTGGTGTCACAGTAGCTTGCACACATAGTACCACTAATCGAAAAAAAAATGACAGGCAGAGGCAGACCACCCCGCAGGGGCCGTCGTGGTCGTGGTGCTGTGATTCCCTTTTGCCCTAGAATAATGCCCAGTTTTCAGAGGCCAGGTACCCTGAACTTGAAAAGTTCTGAGGACATAGTTCACTGGCTAACACAGGACACCCAATCTTCTACAGCTTCCGCTCGGAACCTTGACGCAACATTCTCCTCCAGCTTAGCTTCAGGCACCTCTCAAGATACCACTCACCCGCCTGCCGCCACCACCAACACTAGTACCACAGCCGCTTCACTTGGTATGTCAGAGGAGTTATTTACACATCCGTTTGAAGAAATGAGTGATGCACAACCATTATTGACAGAGGATGTAGATAACAGGGATATGTCTCAATCAGGCAGCATTACACATGTACGGTGTGATGATGATGATGTTGTACCCGCTGCTGCTTCCTTTGCTGAGTTGTCAGATACAAGTGAAGTGGTTGATGATGACGATGCGTCCATGGATGTCACGTGGGTGCCCGCTCGTCAAGAAGAAGAACAGGGCTAAAGTTCAGATGGGGAGACAGGGAGGAGGAGGAGACGAGTTGGAAGCAGGGGGAGGTCGTCGCAAGGAGCTAGTGGCACAGTCAGACAGCATGCATCAGCACCCAGGGTCAGCCCGACAGCATGCCAATCAACGCATGCTGTGTCCACCACCAGAATGCCGTCATTGCAGAGCTCAGCAGTGTGGCATTTTTGTGTGTGTCTGCCTTTGACAACAGCGATGCAATTTGCAACCTGTGCCAAAAGAAACTGAGTCGTGGGAAGTCCAACACCCACCTAGGTACAACTGCTTTGCGTAGGCACATGATCGCACATCACAAACGCCTATGGGATCAACACATGAGTACAAGCAGCACACAAACTCAAAGCCACCATCCTCCTCCTGGTCCAGCATCTTCAGCCACGCCAACCACTGCTGTCCTCCTTGCCCCCTCTCAACCAACCGCCACTCCGTCTCTCGCCTTGAGCAGTTCCTGCTCATCTGCCCACAGTCAGGTGTCTGTCAAGGACATGTTTGAGAGTAAGAAGCCAATGTCAGAAAGTCACCCCTTGCCCGGCGTCTGACAGCTGGCTTGTCTGTACTATTAGCCCGCCAGCTTTTACCATACAAGCTGGTGGAGTCTGAGGCGTTCAAAACATTTGTAGCTATTGGAACACCACAGTGGAAGGTACCCGGACGAAATTTATTTTCACAAAAGGCAATCCCCAACTTGTACTCGATTGTGCAAAAGGAAGTAATGGCATGTCTGGCTCACAGTGTTGGGGCAAGGGTCTATCTGACCACTGATACCTGGTCTGCAAAGCATGGTCAGGGCAGGTATATCACCTACACTGCGCATTGGGTAAACCTGCTGACGGCTGCCAAGCATGGAATGCTGCCACCTCCTCTACTCCTCCTACTCCATCCTCTTCCATAACCTCCTCGGCTGAGTCCTCTTCTGCTGCTGCGTCTTGCTCCACATCAACGGCACCCCCCAGCTCCCCAGGTACTATTCCACATCCCGGATATGGCAGTGTCACGCCGTCTTGGGTTTGACTTGCTTGAAAGCAGAGAGTCACACCGCACAAGCACTCCTGTCCGCCCTGAACGCACAGGTGGAAAAGTCGCTGACTGCGCAGCAACTGGAGATCGGCAAAGTGGTTTGTGACAACGGAACAAATTTGTTGGCGGCATTGAAGTTGGGCAAGTTGACACATGTGCCGTGCATGGCACATGTGTGTAATCTGATCGTACAATGCTTTGTGCTTAAGTACACAGGCTTACAGGACGTCCTGAAGCAGGCCAGGAAGGTGTGTAGCCATTTCAGGTGTTCCTACACAGCCATGGCGCACTTTGCTGATATCCAGCGGCGAAACAACATGCCAGTGAGGCGCTTGATTTGCGACAGCCCGACACGGAATTCAACACTCCTAATGTTCGTCCGCCTGCTCCAACAAGAAAAAGCCATTAATGAATATTTGT